ACCGGGCCTGGCCTACCTGACCCCTTCTGTCTCTGTCTGCTCCCAGCCGGCTGCCTCAGCTGCCCTGTACGCTCAGCTGGTGCACGGCAGGAAGGGGCTGGAGGCAGTGGAGGCCCTGGGGAAGTTGCTGGCCCACATAGAGCAGAACTTGTCCAGGAGAGGCACTGCCTACCTCGCTGGGGTGAGTGGGACCTGGGGTGGGGGGAGCCCCGCTCCCTGGGGGAGACCACTGGGGAGGGGGTAGGCCCTTCCCCCTGGAAAGCTGAGCTCGCTGCTGCCTGTTCTGAGGCAGGACCCTCAGCCTGGGTTGGGGCTGCTTCAAGGCCTGACTCTGCTTCTCTGGCCCAGGACACCAAGTCAGTGGCTGATGTGGTTGTGTGGGGGACCTTGTTTCCTGTCCTCCAAGATGAGACCAGCCTGCCAAGTAAGAGTGAAAGAGGGGTGCTGAGGGGGAGCGTTCCTTGTGTTCCTATGGCTATGAGAGTCATGCTGCGTGCGCTCGCTTGCTCTCTCTCTCACCCCCCAAGGTGAGCTGCAGGCGCTGAGGATCTGGTTCCAGAGCATGACACTGTCAGAGGCCTGCAGAAAAGCTGCTGACTCCGTTCTGATGCCCAAGGCACTGCTGGAGTTCAAGTCCTACCTGCAGAAGCAGCCTCCGCCCTGCCTGGCCATGGAGAGAGCCACCAGTAACGAGCCTGAGGTGCAGCCCTGGCCCCCTGCTCAGCCCTGGCCCAGGGATGGGCCCCCATGGGGCTGGTGGTGACAGGCACGCAGACCCTCACTGGGACCAGCCTTCCCCACAGGAGGAAGAAGGTTCTGAGCGTGCCCTGACGGAGGAGGAAATCACAGCTGCTGCGGATGCCTGGGCCCGCGGTGCTGCAGCACTGCCCAAGCCCTGGCAGCCTCAGAAACCTGTGTGAGTCCCAAGATGACACTGAGACAGGCTGGCTGTCTCAGACCTCCAAGGGGCCTGGCAGAGGCTCCCAGGTTGATGCCACATTGTTCTGGGATGGGGTGGCCCTGTTGCTCTTTGTGCCTGCTCTGACTGCCCCTGTCCATGCCAGGCTGCCTGTGGAGGGCATGAGGAATGTCCTGATCACAAGTGCTCTGCCCTACGTGAACAACGTGCCCCACCTCGGCAACATCATTGGCTGCGTCCTCAGTGCCGACACCTTTGCCAGGTGAGACCTGGCTGCAGAAAAGCTCCCTGGGGCAGGGGGATCATCATGGGGGGCTGTACTGCGCCCAACACCTGCACGGGTGTCACAGGCCCCTGCCTGCAGGTACTGCCGCCTGCGGAACTGGAACACGCTATACGTGTGTGGCACGGACGAGTACGGCACAGCCACTGAGACCAAGGCTGTGGAAGAGGGGCTGACGCCCCAGGAGATCTGCAACAAGTACAACGCCATCCATGCTGACATCTACCGCTGGTTTGACATCTCATTCGACTACTTTGGCCGCACCACCACACCGTACCAGACCACGTGAGCGGCTGTGTCCCCCAGGGGCTCACATGGAGGGACTGGTGCTGGGGAGAACCCCAGCATGCCTGGCTGATGGGGGCTGCCCCCCTCCTCTTCCTCTTCTCTCCCAGGATTGCCCAGGACATTTTCCAGCGCCTGCTGGCCCATGGTTTCCTTCTGCAAGACACTGTGGAGCAGCTGCGATGTGAGGACTGCCAGCGGTTCCTGGCCGACCGCTTTGTGGAGGGCACCTGCCCCTTCTGCAACTACGAGGAGGCACGAGGAGACCAATGTGATAAATGTGGCAAACTCATCAATGCTGTGGAGCTGAAGGTGGGACAGGATCCATCTGGGGACCACCCCACCCCACCCCACAACCTCGCCTGCTGCTCCGCTCTGCCTGGGACCCCCAGCCTTGTCCTGGGCTCCCTCCAACCTATGTTTTTCCTCCTGACAGAATCCGCAGTGCAAGCTCTGCAGGGGCGTTCCTGTGGTGAAACCCACCCAGCATCTCTTCCTGGATCTACCCAAGGTGAGCTTCATCACTGGGGGAGTGGGGAGGGGATGGGGCACCCCCTGATACCACTGACCATCCCCATGTGTTTCCCTACAGCTGGAGGAGCGCCTGGAGCCCTGGCTGGAGCAGTCCTGGGCCACAGGGGACTGGACAGCCAATGCTCGCTACATCACTCGCTCCTGGATCCGGGATGGGCTCAAACCCCGCTGCATCACCCGTGACCTGAAGTGGGGCACGCCTGTGCCCCTTGATGGCTTCCGTGACAAGGTGGGTCCCACCTGGCCCCTCGGTTGCAGCATCTGTCCCCAGGTGCCCTGCCTGGCGGTCCCCTGCTCATGAATCACTCTTCCCCCCAGGTTTTTTACGTGTGGTTTGATGCTCCCATTGGCTACTTGTCCATTACAGCCAACTACACTGACCAGTGGGAGAGGTGGTGGAAGAACCCACAGCAGGTAGGAGCCTGGTGCTGCTGCAGGGTGGAGGTAGGGACGGAGCTGGACACCAGGGTCCACTGATGTCCCCCCCTGCTA